CAAGATGAGTCGAATTGAGCAGCGCCGCGCTAGGTAAACCATCTGCGAATGCGCACCCCAAATAAAGAGCTGTCACCAGACTATGTAGTCAAACAGTTGCCCATTGTACATTAACCCCGCAAACAACTATCGCTTCCCTTTTCAGATCGTGTTGCTCCATCGAACCCAAACTCTCAACCACAGTGCGAAGATGCCCGCCATACGTCTGACTCTCGCATCAAATGCAAACCAATCAACGAAATGCCCAATCCTTATACCCGCTTCCGCGTCCACTAACCCCACAGCTTCGTCTTCTGTCCGAGCGCTTGTCTTCAAGAGTGCGCAGGCAAAACTGCGTGTAAAGAAACCTACTCGTGTCTTTGTCGGACGCAGCGGGCAAGAGCTTGTATCTGAAGCAGATTGGAAGAGCAACATTAATAACGATGTCGTATTGCTCGTCTCAGCGGGAGAAGACTATGTTGGTGCGAGGAAAGTATCAGGGGTGCATGGTAAGTAGCACTGACGTTTGAGCAAGTTTGCGCTCAATATCTGTGCTTATCCCCTTCCGTATTACGATCAATTACTGACACAATATAATAGCCGACGCAAACCCACAATGCCCAGTTGAAGTGTTAGCATCTGAAGCAACCCTCGTTGAACCGCTAGCTTTGACTCAGCTTAAGACCACCGCGCGCACGCTTCCAGGTATCATACACGCCGTTGGTCAACCCGATCTCCACCCAGGCACCAAGTTCCCCATCGGCGCAGTCTTTGCTTCCAAGGGATGGATCCATCCTCCTCTCATCGGTGGCGATATCGGATGTGGTATGGCCTGGTACAAAACAAAACTCAACAGAAGCCAGGTTGATGGGAATAAAGGCAAGAACGTTGCTAATCAGCTTCGAGGACTAGAGGGTGCCTGGCGCAACCAAGCCTACCGAGAGAAATGGCTGTTGGACGAAGACAACTGTAGCATCTCCGCCGGTAAACAGTGGGACGCTGCTCTGGGCACCATAGGAGCTGGGAATCACTTTGCCGAGATCCAGGTCGTCGAGGAATCGGGATTTGCCAAATCGGACGATGGACTCCATCAAGATGATGTCGTCCTGCTGGTCCACTCGGGATCACGAGGACTAGGAGGCAGCATTCTCAAGAAGTACACAACCGACTCACGCACAAGCTTTCCGGACGATAGCGAGGACGCCAATGCATACCTGGAGGAGCACAACAAGGCCTGCGAGTGGGCAAAGGCGAATCGGGATCTGATTGCCCTGCGGTTCCTTGCATGTCTTGAGCCTGGCAATGAAGACTGGCAGCTTGGCGACTCAGACACCAGCGACTTCGGCGAAGAGGGCATAACGATGATCGCGACAGCCAAAGCGGCACTGAAGAAGCGTAAGGTAGTTGACATCTGGCACAACAACGTCGAATGCGTGGCATGGCCTCCACCTGCCCCTTCTCCAGCCGCAGAGGATTCTACTCCCGAACTTAGTCTGACCGAGGGGCTGGACAAGATGGCACTTGGCGATGAAAACACTCCAAAAGAATACGTCTTTCTCCATAGAAAAGGCGCAGCCCCGACATACGACCCCAAAACTCAGTTGCCGCTCGGTCTCCTTCCACTGCCCGGTTCCCGGAGCACCGCCACGCTCATCCTCCAGCCAACATTCTCGGAAGCCAACTCATGGGGCCTTAAAAACGGACTTTCGCTGGCCCATGGCGCAGGACGAGCTATGTCTCGGGCAAAGGCCCTCCAAACCTTGGGTAAGAAGTACAAAGGCATCAACCTCTTGGAGCCGAATGCAGAAGACCCAGAAGGCACGTGGGTCATATGTGACGAGAAGGACCTTGTCTTTGAAGAAGCTCCATGGGCATACAAAACCGTTCAGGATGTCGCAGCGGATCTGGTCGCTGCCGGTGCAGCGAAAATAATCGGTTGGTGCTGTCCTAGAGTCAGCTACAAGGTTCGGAAAGAATTGGATCTACTGAGGTAGCCCCATCCTCGATGCGCTAAATTTACGTGGAACAGATCGTTCTCCACCGGGCATGCCGCAATCCGTATGGATGCCGGTATTTGAGTAGGTAGGGTACCCAAGCGTCCTGCGCAATATGCGAAAGAGTAATGATGAGTATGTAATTTCGATGTTTCCATATCACTCTGCATCAGATAGATGCAGCAACCCTGTCTTTTCCCACTTCAACCGCTTCTCGTCAATTTCCTCTGCTTCCCACGCCTCCTCCTTCTACATCATCTCATCTCATCTCGATCTCGAGTCACACCCGTCTTTGCCGTGCCGTGCAACCTTGTCCACCGCCTCTCTGCCTCAGTAAAACACAGGAAATCGCATCTGATACACCCGCGCCAGGAACGCATGTTTGGTCTATTTGCGTCGATAAGCGCGACAACGAGAGTTTTGTGTGGAATGTTTGTTCCCTTAGGGACTCGGCTAGTGGAAAGGGTGCAACACGCAAGCGCCATGCCACTGTATGGGGTAAATTTGGATCTGTACCAAGACTGTTAGATCCGACTAGCGCTGCAGTAGTCAAAGCTTGGTATATTGGCGGCAGAAAGGACATCTGCGACAGCCTGACCCTCTCTTCCTCAGAGAATCTGCATCAGCAAGCGACGACACGACAAAAACACTGCAACTCATCGTAACCTCCAGCCTACGTGGCATTATGACTCTTACTTCCCAGCCCCAAGATGTAGCCCCCATTGGCGCATACAGAAAACTGAGCTGGCTGGGGCCAAGTCTGACAAACTCCACACCAGGCTCAGCCCTGGCCTCAGGAACAAGGCCCGCCCCCGCAATGATTGGCCGGCAAAGCGCCCATGCGTCTTGGTGTTTCGAAACGGCGAAGCGGGCGCGCATCCTTTAGCGCAAAAACGGCAAACAACACCTGGTTTCATGCAATAACGAAGGCAGTCTTTGTTCGCGGCGGCCAATCAGCCGGAGCGAACCGGCAGAAAAGAGGGTTCCGTAGTGGGTTTGCGTGCAAGTGACGGCGCGCAAGGCTTTGCGGGAAATGGGCGTTGGATCAGATGGATGCGTGATGGGGCTTTCTTGGTGTGTGACGCCCCAACCACCGGTGCATGGTGCCTGCTGCGCCTCTACCCGGCAGGAAAGATTATATAGTGTTTGCCAGCCGCCAGCTTCCTGAGGAATCATCCCTTTTGCAAGCAAGCCCCCTTCACTGGTTTTTCCTACAGTTCATTGTCTGCCAACAGAGTCTTTCGCTTTGCTTATCAGCGTTCGCTATAATATACGGTATGTAGTCACAGTCCCTCGAGCGGTTTGCGCTTTTCCCCATTCCTATTCCATTCCTACCCGGGTGCCGTTCGTGGAACTTTCCGTTTGCATATTCGTTCGACAAGGTTCTATCGCGCTTTCCCCTCTCGCACTTCAATTGCGCGGATCTCATATAAACACACTTGGCGCCTCCACTTCATTTCCCCGATCACTCAGTTACTTCGCTCATCTACTCTTCTTTTCCACCTGCACTCGCTAAACAATTCCCACAGTCGAGTCTCAACTTCATTCTTTCACAAGAAACCACCAGCCACATATTCAAAATGCTCGTCTCCATCATCTCCGTTCTGGCCGCGGCCACCGCTGTCGCCGCCCAAGGCACTCCCGCTCCCGTCGTAATGGGCAACCCCATGGGCGCCAAGTACGTCGGTACTCTTCCCGCCAAGGAGGGCAGCGCTCTCACCGGATCCATCGAGGCCACCACCGGCGCCGACGGCAAGGGCGTCAAGTTCCAGGTCTCCTTCGCTGGCCTCCCCGAGACTGGCGGTCCCTTCATGTACCACCTCCACGCTAAGCCTGTTCCTTCTGACGGCAACTGCACTGGTACCGGCGCTCATCTGGACCCGTACATGCGCGGCGAGGCTCCTCCCTGCGATGCCACCAAGCCTGAGACCTGCCAGACTGGTGACTTGAGCGGCAAGTACGGAAACGCTACTGAGACCACTTTCTCGGCCGAGTACACCGACTTGTACTCTGCTACTCTGCCCTCTGACCCTGCTTTCGTAAGTTTCGCTCATACCCTATAAGTTGGAAACCCAATTTGCTAATACATCACAGTTCGGCGCCCTGTCCTTCGTTGTCCACCTCAGCAACAAGACCCGTATCGGCTGCGCCAACTTCACCATGGTCTCTGCTGGCGAGGGTGAGGGCTACCCAGCTGCCTCTTCCTCCGCTGCCATGTCTTCCGCACCAGCCATGTCCTCCGGATACGCCATGCCTCCTACCACCGCCTCATCTGGCTTCGCCATGCCATCAGGCTCGCCTGCTTACAACGCCACCAGCACTGGCATGATGTCGCCCACCACCGGCATGCCCATCCCTCCCAGCTCAGCTTCCGCCTCAGCCCCAGCTGAGTTCAGCGGCGCCGCCGTCAAGGTCGCCGGTGGCGCTGGTGCTCTGCTCGCCGCTGCTGCCGCGCTCGTCTTGTAGAGTGTTCAGATGGAGCACAGGTGCATCATGGAGTTTTCTTCTTTTTCTTCTTTTCAATGTCATTGATACCAGATGGGTCGCTAGATCGGCTTCATCGCTTCTTTTCGCCAGACACGCGAGGGTCCATTACTTTGGTACCCTTTTTTTCGCATGTGTATAGGGTCATGTTCACGGGGTCACTTCTTCAATAATGTAGTTTGATAATGGGCTAGATATGAGAATGTCACAGATTTGCAAATACTCTCTTTCGTATTCCGTTGTTTGTGATGAATGTCATGACGTGCTTCATCCGGACGCCTTCGCGACAATGCTTCTGTATGTTAGTGTCCATGAAAACACTGCGCAACATCACTCAAAATGATCAACAGGAAGATGGTGACGTTGGTGACTTGCTCAATTGCAGTCGATGGCCATTCGGCTCATATTCATGTGTAGTACATGAGGGTATCATTCCCCGTCCACGTGTCAACCTCCATCTCGTATCCTACTCGTCCAAAGCTATACAGTAAAGCATACGCAACTCGAAGTGAGAGCCGTCCAAGCCTTGGCTTTGACAGACGGTTATTCTGAATCGCTGTCAGGAATATTGCCACGGCCGGACTTCTTGAAGCGAGGCTTGTCCTCGGCAAGCGTAAGCTCTTGGTCGCGCCCTTCGTATCTCTTGCCGCCGAACTTCCAGGCCACAAACTTTTCTGCGTCCTCGAACTCCTTGAAGCGGACGGTGACAATGCCCTCAGGTTCCAAGTCCCAAATCGTGACCTTGGTGACTTCGCCGATCGCCTTAGCGGGTTCCATCGTATCATCGAAGACATCGCCATAGTTATCCGGGTCGTTCTTCATCACGTCCACGTCGAACATGCCCTTGATGATGACGGTCTTCGCCCACTTGTTCTTCTTGGCCACGAAGGTTTGGGCAACCTCTTCCTCGTTGTCGGACCACTCGTTGAGCTTTCTGTATCTCTATTAGTAACGAATTGAGGATAAGTAGACTGGCGAGCTTACCGGTTGAGCTCTTGCCTGTTACGTTCCGACGCCTTACGATCGCGACGTGTAAGCTTCGATGCCACCTTTTCTCCATCCTTCTCCTTCTTGTACTCCATGCTGGCGGGCTCAACGCGGATGTTGCCGTGCTTGGTTTCGCCAAGGCGCAGAGGGTAGTCATCCGCTAGCTTGACGGCGTTGACGATGGCCTCTTTCTTGAAGTATACGATCATGGCAGTGCCATTGAACTTGCCCTCATCATCCTTGTAGAGATTGATGCGAGGCTCGCCGTTGGCGCCCTTGTCGATCATGCCGTATCGTGAGAACTCTTCCTCGAGCTCCGTCTTCGTGGTGTCAGGCGGCAGGTTAGAGATCCAGATCGCCTTGTTCTCCATGACCTTGGCTTTCTTGTTAGGCTGTCTCATGTTAGCGAGTGATCTAGAAGCTTGAGACGCTACTAACCTCGGGTTCCTTCTCGGCCTTTCGCTTCTTGTTGGTCTGAGGCTCTGGTGTGCGATCGGCGGGTGCCGACGGAGAGCGTGAGACAGCCTCACGACCCCCCATGAAGTCGTCTAGGTCTGTAGCGTAACTGGACATGATATCGTTAGAAGATGTCACAGCAAGAGTTCGTGCCAAAGAGGTTCGGCAATAGGTTCGGCAACGGTTTCGCGGCTCAGCAACTGATCAAGGTGCACGTTGGTGAGACGCGCAACTTGTTGTTGTTGTGGTGAAGAGGAGCTCGAGTCGTCGGCGGCAGAAATATTGGGCGGTAAGGTCTGTTTGCGGGACAACGGGCGCTACGGCGTTGATGTTTCTCCGGTGCCGGTAGCAACAAGGGCTGTTGCCTAGCGAAGAAGAGAACTCAGGGCGCTGGGAGTGATGACAGCAGCCTTGGAGGTCGCTGTTGGAGACGCCATGGTTCGTTAGTCTTTCTGAAGGGCAAGCCCTCTAATGCCGCCATGCTCTTTCGGAGGGCGCGGATGAACCTACACAGCGCTGTGCGAGATGTATAGGAGCTCAGAGGCGAGGGAGGTTTGTTGTGCTGACCAGGTGAGGTTTGTGGAAGAGGAGGAGAGGGATGACGATGGCAGGACCGATAGAGTCGCGGAGTGGTGCATGCAGGACGCCGGCGAAATCCCGCCTAGCGCCGTCAGGGTAAGCTTTAAGCTTCGATCGCAGCAGCCTTAGCCCCGCATGTGCCGACTCAGTGATCACGGTAAAACGCCCATCCGAGGCATGCAATGTACGACACACGAGACACTCCAGACGCAAGAGGAAACCCTCGAAGATCACTGCGCCCCACCGCCGAGTATATATAGGCGGAACATGTAGCCGCAAGAGTCCAGTATTTCTCCCTGTTCCTGCTCTTGCGACCGTTGCGCACAGCGAAACTGATACACCATGTCTTTAGTCGATATCCTGCTCAGACCCAATATGCGGGACCCGCTTCCTGCGCCCTCGCTGCTCGTGCAGTCTAGCAAGTCGTTCGCCGACAAGCTGAGCCTGACGACGCTTCCGTACCACGTCCACGAGATCCTCCTCGGCTTCCTGGGCTACCATCTCATCCTCCATGTCCTTTCTCCCGCCGTTTCGCGACTCGTCTGCCCGAATGTATACAAGAGCTTCAACAAGCGCACGCGACTCAACTGGGACATCCACTGGGTCTCTATGATTCAAGCGCTATTCATATGCGCCGCTGCGCTGTGGGTCATCTTCAAGGATGAGCAGAGGCACGAGATGGACTGGAGGGGTAGACTGTGGGGATATACGCCAGCTAGCGGTATGGTGCAGGGATTCGCAGCTGGGTACTTCCTATGGGATCTCCAAGTGTCCGCGCAATACATCAACATTGCTGGCGTAAGCTCTTTGATCCATGCGATCGGTGCTTTGGCCGTGACCTGCATTGGTTTCGTAAGTTCTCTGCTTCCACGGCACACCACATCTGCTGACTCTCTTCTAGAAACCCTTCGGAAACTACTACGGCCTCTCCTTCGTCCTCTACGAACTCTCCACCCCTTTCCTCAACATCCACTGGTTTTGCGACAAGCTCGGAATGACTGGCTCAAAACTCCAGCTCTACAACGGTATCGCCCTCCTCGTTACATTCTTCGGTTGTCGCATCGTCTGGGGTTCATACCAGTCTGTGATGATCTACTCAGACATCTACAAGGCACTCACTATGCCCAAACCCGAACTCATGAGCTCTCTGCTCGAGGCCCAGAAGTGCGACGGAACCTCCAACAGCAGCATGGGTCTCGATGGACCTGGAAACTGCACAGCTGGCGAGCTGCCCATGTGGCTGGTCTGTGTATACTTGGTGGGCAACACGGCGTTGAGCATGCTCAACTTCTTCTGGTTCTCGCAGATGATCAAGGCTGTTAGGAAGAGGTTCGTACCTGCGGAGGAGACCAAGGCCAAGAAGAGCCAGTAGGCGTCCTTCTTAACGAATGATGAGATGAGATCAAGAATACACAAGTGTTTGGAATGGGCGTGCTTGGAGTCGCAGGATGAATGTAATGGATGAATTGAGGTACACCGCGATTTGTTGAAGCTTGAGAGCTGTCTCAATTCATCTCGTGTGAGCCAGCTCCCAAGCTTCAACAAATCGCGGTGTACCTCAATTCCTGAATGTGATGGATGGACAGGGAAAGAGTGATGATACCCAGCGTTCTTTGGATAGTTTCTCAAAGTTGATGATACTGAATATGAATTATGCGCTTCAACACCAGCAATAATGAGTTCAACGATGTTGATACATTCATGCGCTCATGCCCATGACAAATCGAATCAAACCCCCCTGATAACTTCTCATAACTTCGCACTCGCAGCACCCATCTTCTCCACCTCCTCCCTCAACACTCTCCTCATCTCCCCCGCCATCTTAGCCCCCTCCTCATCATCCAAATCATCCCTCTGACCCCGTCCAAACATAGTCCAACTCTTATTCTTGATCTCCGGCATCGTCTCCGGACGCGGTATGATGTGAAAATGCACATGAGGTACTACTTGTGCTGCACGTGCTCCTGCAAGTAGATATTAGAATACGAGGAGATGGAAAAGAAGCAAGAAACATACCATTATTCTGCACGATATTGTAATCCGTCACGCCCGTTACTTTAGCCACCGTCCGTGCTAGTATCGGTAACCAGAAACCTAGTCACATAATCAGTATATTCTTCTTTACCAACAAGCGTAATATGTCAGCTTAACGTACCAATCTCCCTACTCTCCACAGCCTCCATATCCGCAACCTTGACTTTATGCTGGCGTGTAGTAACAAGCAAATGGCCTCCCGTCATCGGCAAGATATCCAGAAAAGCAACGACATCCCTACTCCTCAGCACCACAAAACTACTCGGACTCGTTTTCTCTGGATCGCTCTCCTCTTCTTTTGGTATACTCTCTTTTAACAAGTCTTGTTCTAGGGTACTGCTGCTCTTCCACAGTGAGGGAGTGAGCGGTGGACTGCTCGGGGAAATAGACGAGGGTGATGATGAGGGGAAGGGGAAGGCGGCGGCGATGGTGCAGAAGGGGCAGGTTTGGGGTGGGTAGTGGAGGTCCGTTTCTTGCATGGCTGCGTTGGTGGGAGTGTTGGTTGGTTGCTAGGAGCGTTGGTTGTGCTGGATTGTGGGGATATAGTAGTCGGAACGGTGAATAGTAATTGATGGATGTTGACAATAATTGATGAACGGGTGCTGACGATGCCGTTTGTTGATATGGATATCCACGTCTTGTTCCGGTAGGTAGGTGAAGGGCCGGTAACACTGTCCAGATAACGCAGGTGCAAGTCGTTGCAACAAGATTCACAACCTCCACTAACTCAAACGTCTTCAAAATCGAACAAAAAAAGACGACGAAAGATAAAAACGATAATCAGGGTCTTCCCCGTATTGATGATCGATCAACACGCAATCAACGCGCAAAGCTGTGGTCGCAGTGCATTCAGGTGAGCTCCGTATTCAGATTAGCGCCGATGTCGACGTGAATTGCCGAGGCACATTGATCGCGGGAACGCGACATGGCCGGGCTGGGCTGGGCACGTCTGCATCGCGATCGTGGAGCGGCAACGCGGGCGCGTGTTGGTGTCAATGCACGCAGAACGCGAGAAAGCAAGGAAAATGTGGCGTCTGAACACGGTCGTGACGTACCGTGTATCTTACGAGTCTTGGACGCGCGACGCGATGCGCTTCTTCGTGTTTAGGTGTGGGTCTTTGCATGAGATGGCTGGGAAAGGATGGCTAACAGCATGTATGGCATCATCGTGCAATGTCAGAGTAAAGTCACGTCACGTCAGACGAAAGCGAGGCTCATTGAAATTTCTGTCTCCATTTGACGCGAAACAGTGCGTTTTCAGACTATTCATACACTCTGAGAGCTACTTCACATTTGCTATCCCAATGACCCATATTTCCCACAGACACCACATACAGATCCACCAAGGAATAGCCTCTCCCATATCACACCATTCATGGTATATCGATCGCTAATGCTATGAGCGAGTATCCAGAGCCGCTACAGAGAAATGAAGTTAAGAGTGATGTGAAAAGGCAAGCACCCTTGATTTGCGCATGCGTGCATGGGGGGATGAACGCCTGCGACTCCATGTTCCAAAACAAGACAAGAGAAACCATAACAGAATTGTGCAACCAACTTGCATCCCATGTATTAACGCCGACCGGAAGATGGTATTAGCCAAGATGTAAACATGAAGGGGTTGGCTTGGATGCAATCGTAAAATTTGCTCCCGGTCGAACCGAACATCGTCATCCGCTGCTCAGTGAGCATGGCGGTAATGAATAGCTTTGCGACTCCTGAGCCAAAGACCGGGAGTGCCTAAAGAAGGAGAACAGTCTTAGCGCTGGCTCTTGGTCTTGGAGGGGACAATGGCGGCCTCCTCTTCCTCTTCTTGGAGCGCGTTACCGTAGGCAGCGACATAGTCCTTTGCCCACTTGCGTAGAACGATGGATGCTGGTGAATGTTAGTTGTGAACGAGAGAGTGGATGGAGAATGCGATGACTTACCCTTCAAGAACTTCTTGCTAGCATACTTCTTAAAGAAGGCTTCGTGGATGACAGGGCTGGAGAGGTAGTCGATCATCAGCTGCAGGACAGGCTGGATTTCCTCCTCGCTGTAGCCGGCGTAGTGTGTGAGGGTCTCGTCCCAAGGGCCACGCTCGAGGACGAGGCGGGCAAGGTACATGGCAGCGGCAGCGACTTGGCTGGGGGGATGGGCGAGGAAGCGGTGGTCCAGGCAGCCGATCTCGAGGAGGTACTTGCCCAGTGTGCGGGTCTGGATGTCGTAGTTGTCGGCCTTTGATATCCGGCGGAGGAAGTTCATGGGGTTGGGGTAGCTGAGGTCGTAGTTGAGGGCAGCGAGGACGAAACGCTCGGCGCTCAGGATCTCCTCCTCGGTGAAGCCATCATCGGCGACGTGACGGAAGTTCTGGACGTGGGGAGAGAGGACCTCCTCGTACTTGGACGCGATGAACATGGCGGTGACACCAACCAACTGAAGACGGTCAAGCTGGACGATCTTGGCTGAGAGGAAGCGGTCGATGATGTTGACAGCAAGGAAGAGGGTCTCCGGGAGGAGGCGGA